GACCGGCGGTCATAGGTCAGCAGGGTTGACATGTCTAATATTTCTCAGTTTTAATAACCATTTTTGTGATCGGGAACAGCTTTGCCGTTAGATGTTTGTGTAATCTAATTAAAGTAAAATAATTCAACCAGTCTGGATCAATTCAGTATAAACAGAGGATAATTGTTATAACTTAACCTTGCTAAAGTAACTGGGTAAGCGATGCGGAACAATACAATACTCTGTCTGGGGTAGTCCAGACAAGGAAAAGATCAGTGTGGTCACGGAAGCAGCTGGGATAAGAGGTCAACATCTTACCTCTCCCCAACAAGACCAGCACATCATTGTAACACGGGTTCGGGTTCCTCTCTCTTTACTTCCTTCTTTCTACTCCCTCTACCCGTATTCTTACTTTTATTTCTAAACCAAGGGACTCCAAAACTTTTACCAAAGCCAACTCCACGCCACGTGGTCCTAAGACGATTGACCGACTTAGGATTCTACACCCAGTATGACGTGACCTAAGCTCTGAACAAAACCCTAGAGTCACCTCTGCTGCCACCACCAGACCAGTAATACAAGAGCAATGATCGAGGTCTGGATCGATCACGCTAATTAATCAACCTAGGGGCTTGATCCCCACTATAAACGATGACCTTGAGTGTGGAATAAATTACACGGTAATGATAATTCCGATTCGATGTTAGAATCGGCGCCCAATGCAACTCTGCCTCGTGTGGACCACGTGACCAGGACAAGTATACACATAAAACACATGGAAACAATAAAATGCAAATTAATAACAAATTTAATTTATTAAAAGAAAACTAAAACAAAATCTAAATATGTTCACTCCCTATCACTTTAACACTCCCTACTTGACCTGAATGGCAAATGAGAAGACTATCCCTATAATTTACAATAGCAACTATACCTTGGGCGACCAGCTCTGGGTGTTGTGCTGGTCTTGTTGGGGAGAGGTAAGATGTTGACCTCTTATCCCAGCTGCTTCCGTGACCACACTGATCTTTTCCTTGTCTGGACTACCCCAGACAGAGTATTGTATTGTTCCGCATCGCTTACCCAGTTACTTTAGCAAGGTTAAGTTATAACAATTATCCTCTGTTTATACTGAATTGATCCAGACTGGTTGAATTATTTTACTTTAATTAGATTACACAAACATCTAACGGCAAAGCTGTTCCCGATCACAAAAATGGTTAAACCATTTAACCAGCACATCAGCAGCACCAAAACCACCAGCACCACCAGCACCAAAACCAGCACATCATTGTGGAAGCTTTTAACATACACGGGCTATTTGTGGGAATGTTTAAGGTATATGGGCTGCTTGTGGGAGTGTTTAAGGTACATTGGCTGCTTATGAGAATGTTTGGTACACGGGCTGTTTGTGGGTGCGTTCAAGGTACATGGGCTGCTTGTGGAAGTGTTCAAGGAACACAGACAGTTTTTAGGAATGTTTAAGGTACTCGGTTGTTTGTGGGAATGTTTAAGGAACACGGGATAGCTGTGGGAGTGTTAAAGGTACACGGGCAGCTTGTGGTAATGTTTAAGGTTCACGAGATTGTTGTGGGAGTGTTTTGTGTACACGGGCAGCTTGTGGTAATGTTTAAAGTACACGAGATATTTATGGGAATGTTTAAGAAACAAAGGCTGTTTGTGTGAGGGGTTTAAGGTACATGACCTATTTATGGAAATGTTTAAGGTATACAGGCTGTTTGATGGTGCTTTTAAGGTATACTGGCTGTTTGTGGAAATGTTTAAGGTATATGGGCTGTTTGTTGGTGGTTTTAAGGTATACTGGCTGTTTGTTGGAATGTTTAAGGTGCACAGGCTGTTTGTTGGTATGTTTATGGTACATGGGCTCTTTGTGGTAATGCTTAAGGAACTCAGGCTGTTTGTTGGAGTTTTTAAGGTATAAGGGCTGTTTGTGGGAATGTTTAAGGTGGACAGGTTGTTTGTTGATATGTTTAAGGTACACGGGCTCTTTGTGGAAATGCTTAAGGAACACAGGCTCTTTGTGGAAATGCTTAAGGAACACAGGCTCTTTGTGGAAATGCTTAAGGAACACAGGCTGTTTGTGGGAATTTTTAAGATATGCGGCCTGTTTGAGGAACGTTTATAGTAATCGGGCTGATTGTGGGAATGTTTAAGGTACACAGGCTGTTTGTGCAAATGTTTAAGGTACACAGGCTGTTTGTGGGAATGTTTAAGATAGAAAGGTTGTATGTGGGAGTGTTTAAGGTACACGGGCTGCATGTGGGAATGTTTAGCATACACGGGCTGTTTGAGGGAGTGTTTAAGGTACATTGGCAATTTATGAGAGTGTTTAAGGTACACAGGCTGTTTGTGGGAGTTTTTTATGATACACAGGCTGTTTGTGGGAATGGTAAAGTACACTGGCTGTTTGTGGGAATGTGTAAGGTATACAGGCTGTTTGTGGGACAGTTTAAGGTACACGGGCTGTTTGTGGGAATGTTTAAGATACACGGGCTATTTATGGGAATGTTTAAAGTTCATTGGTTGTTTGTGGGAATGTTTAAGGTTCACGGGGTGTTTGTAGGAATGTGTTAGGTACACAGGTTGTTTGTGGTATTATTTAAGATACACGGGCTGCTTGTGGAAATGTTTAAGGTATACGGGCTGTTTGTGGAAGTTTTTAAGGTACACTGGCTGTTTGTAGGTGTGTTTAAGGTACACAGCCTGTTTAAGGGAGTTTTTAAGATACACGGGATTTTTGTGGGAATGTTTGAGGTATACGGGCTGATTGTGGGAATGTGTAAGGTATATGGGCTGCTTGTGGGAGTGTTTAAGGTACACAGGCTGCATATAGAAATGTTTAAGGTACACAGGCTTTTTGTGGGAGCGTTTAAGTTTCACGGGCTGCTTGTGGGAGTGTTGGAGGAATACAGACAGTTTGTGGGAATGTTTAAGGTACACGGCTGTTTGTGGGAATGTTTAAGATACACGGGCTGCATGTGGGAATGTTTAGCGTACACGGGCTGTTTGAGGGAGTGTTTAAGGTACACTGGTGGTTTGTGGGAGTGTTTAAGGTACACAAGCTGTTTGTGGGAGTTTTAATGATACACTGGCTGTTTGTGGGAATGTTTAAGGTATACGGGCTGTTTGTAGGAATGTTTAAGGTACACGGGCTGTTTGTGGGAATGTTTAAGGTTCACGGGCTGTTTGTGGGAATGTTTAAGGTATACGGGCTGTTTTTGGGAATGTTTAAGGTTCTCATGCTGTTAGTGGCAATGTTTAAAGTACACAGGGTTTTTGAGCAAATGTGGAAGGTACACAGGTTGTTTGTGATAGTGTATAAGATACAAGGGCTGGTTGTGGGAATGTTTAAGGTACACTGGCAGTTTGTGGGAATGTTAAAGTACACAGGCTGTTTGTGGGAATGTTTAGGTACACAGGCTGTTTGAAGTAGTTTTTAAGATACACGGGCTGTTTGTTGGAATGTTTCAGGTATCCGGTCTGTTTGTAGGAATGTTCAAGGTATACAGGATGTTTGTGCAAAAGAGTAGGATACACAGGTTGTTTGTGGTAGTGTTTAAGATACACGGGCTGCTTGTGGGAATGTTTAAGGCACACGGGCTATTTGTGGGTATGTTTAAGTACACAGGCTGTTTGTAGGAATGTGTATGGTACACAGGCTGTTTGTGGGAGTGTTTAAGGTACAGGGGCTGTTTGTAGGAGTGTTTAAGATACAGGTGCTGTTTGTAGGAATGTTTAAGGCACACGGGCTATTTGTGGGAATGTTTAAGGTTCACGGGCTGTTTGTGGCAATGTTTAAGGGACCCAGGCTGTTTGTGAGAATGCTTAAGGTACACGAACTGTTTGTGGGAATGCTTAAGGGTACACGGGCTTCAGGTGGGAATGTTTAGCTTACACGGGCTGTTTGTGGGAGTGTTTAAGGTACACTGGCTGTTTGTGGGAGTGTTTTAGGTACACAGGCTGTTTGAGGTAGTTTTTAAGATACACGGCCTGTTTGTGGGAATGTTTCAGGTATCCGGGCTGTTTGTAGGAATGTTTAAGGTATACAGGATGTTTGTGCAAAAGAGTAGGATACACAGGTTGTTTGTGGTAGTGCTTAAGATACACGGGCTGCTTGTGGGAATGTTTAAGGTACACAGGCTGTTTGTGGGTATGTTTAAGTACACAGGCTATTTGTGGGAGTGTTTAAGGTACAGAGGTCTTTGTAGGAGTGTTTAAGGTCCACGTGCTGTTTGTGGGAATGTTTAAGGCAAATGCGCTATTTGTGGGAATGTATATGGTTAACGGGCTGTTTGTGGGAATGTTTAAGGTACACGGGCTGTTTGTGGAAATGTTTAGGGTTCACGGGCGGTTTGTTGGAATGTTTAAGGTACACGGGCTGTTTGTGGGAATGTTTAAGGTATACGGGCTGTTTGTGGGATTGTTTAAGGTACACGAGATATTTGTGGGAATGATAAAGTATACAGGATGTATGTGGGAATGTGTAAGGTACACAGTCTTTCTGTGGGAGTGTTTAAGGTACATGCGCTGTTATTGGGAATGTTTAAGGTTCACGGGCTGTTTTTGGGAATGTTTAAGGTACACGGGCTGTTTGTGGGAATGTTTAAGGTTCTCATGCTGTTAGTGGCAATGTTTAAAGTACACAGTCTTTTAGTGCAAATGTGGAAGGTACACATGTTGTTTGTGGGAATGTTTAAGAAACACGGGCTGTTTGTGTGAATTTCTAAGCTTCTCGGCCTGTTTGTGGCAATGTTTAAAGGCTGTTGAAATGTACTTCTGAAGGTTAAATACATTTTTTTTCTGTTTTTTTTTATACTATGTTTTACTGCACTGAGGTAATTTATTTTTTCGTTTAAAAATTTCTTAAGAGATACCAAATATGTTCTAAAAAAAATGATTGGCACGTGGAAAAAGTTTGTGTCAGAGACTTGGCTGATTTTGGCACGCACTCTCAAAAAGGTTGCCCACCCCTGATCTATAACTACCCTGTCCATGTACAGATGGACCACCAAGCTATCATTCCCTTGTTCAGAGACAAGAACCCCATAGGCAAGTTTCCCCGTTGGTCGCTCACCATACAAGAGTTCCTACCCACGTTTGGATACTTACCTGGCAAACACAACGTAGTTGCCGATGCTCTCTCTCGTTACGTCGCTCCTGTTCACGTTGAATACCTTTCATTAGACTTGCGAGATGTAGAACTCGCACAACGACAAGACCCAATGTGGGCACCGATCATAAGCTTTCTCATGGACCCGCACACGACTCTTACGGTCAAGCCACCCGTACCCCTCAAGGAACTAGTACTCTTAGATCATGTGCTCCATCGCAAGGTTATGCTTGGATCTCCTGCCAGACTGGTACATCAACTTGTTATTCCTGTGTCGATAGTTCCTACCGTGTTAAAACTTGTTCATGACGCCCCACACAGTGCGCATCCTGGCAAGGACCGCACCATCAAGCAGGCTCGTCTTACATACTACTGGCCAAAAATGGCCAAACAGATTGAACGTCACGTGGATCACTGTCTAACCTGCCTAGCTCACGGAGGCCATGTTGCTGGCCCGAACCCGAGTCAGACTTACCCTACAACTAATGCACCTTGGGATCGTGTTTCTATGGATTTGTTAACAAATTTTGCTGAAACTTCCAGAGGAAATAAACATCTCCTAGTTATGGTAGATAACTTCTCTAGATACTGTGAACTGGTTCCAATTCCAAACAAGACTGCAGAAACTATAGCTAGTGCCTTTCATGATCATATAATTTGCAGGTATGGTCCACCCAGAGTTATACTCTCTGACAACGGCCCGAATTCAACAATTCTGTTCTGGAACAACTGTCTGCATTGTACAAAAATTGTTGCAAAAAGTGTAATATAATGCCTTATCAACCGGCTAGCAATGGCCTTGCTGAAAGAACTAACAAGAAGGTCCTTGACGCACTCAGAGTGACAGTCAATCGGGACAGTCACAAATTGGATGAACTTAATGCCAATCGTCCAATGTTCTATAAACTCCTCTGTCAACTCCTCCATAGGAGACACACACCTCACTTTGTGCTATTTGGGACAGACATGAGATTTCCTAATGCCATCATCTCCTCACTGCCCGCGCCACTCTACAACTATGACGACTATGTTAAGGTCAAACGGAGAGACACTCAACTGGTGTTCCAGAGGGTCAAGGAACCTCTCTCTAAAGCTTCTGACGAGTTCACGCGGTTACAAAACACTCATGCTAAACCTACGAGAATAAGACCTGGACCTTTAGTAATGATCCTCAACCAGCGACGAGATGGTCCCATGTACAAACTGACTGAGAAGTTTCTTGGTCTCTACAGAGTTCTTGAGCATATCAAGGTAATAAGTACAAGCTGGAAAACATAGCCACTGGAGAACAAGTACATGAGCATCTCAACCACATGAACCTAGCCCGTCTGACTGTTGACGATGACACCCCGACTCCTGTCCCTGACAATGTACCGCCTGACCCTACCACTGTGACACCCATTTCGGTCTCAGACACGCCCAGCGATACTACCCCACCACGTACTCACACATGCAATCTTCGGTCCAGACCTGTTATTTCGACAGTACACCACCGACAGTCTGATGATTCATCTTCGTGTGACTGTGGTGTTCCAGTCTGTAAGGGACAATGAATGCGTTCTATCTGCTCCCCTCTCCCTGCCTGTTCATACATGGCAGAGGGGGATTACGTTCATGATGGATTCGCACCTGAGAATTCATAGTTTTATGACTAGATTTAAGAGTGATTGCAAGAATCGTTTTGCACCCATCGGTTCAATGTATATAGACCCTTCCACCTCAGGTATCTTTATTCGTAGTTTATTGTCGTGTCTCTATACACTATGTAGGTCCTCGTGTTCCTGCCACGTTCATGCTCTCCATATTTTAGTGGAAATGTCACTTATTCTATGTATTGCCATGTAATATATTGAGCCTACGTTAGTGTCTGCCGTTTATAATCTGCTTAACAGGTAACACTGTGGCTGAGCATCATGAATTCCTACGCGCAACTTCTGGTCCGCTGACTCTACAGCTACCGCCTCTACCTGCAGCCGGACCTCCTGCCTCCAGTTGCGCAGACATTTAGCTAGTTAGTCATGATGCTCCATGGATAGCTTAGTTTGAGGATTATATTTAAGCATTGTACTCATTGTTCATGCATGTCCGAGACGGTGTTGGACATTAAAAAAATAAGCTTGTTTGTTTACGGCCACTAAAGGTAAATCATTATTTTCCTGTATATAATGTTAGTTAGGTACACGCCCAAGGGTTGTCAAATTTGTCAAGCAGATCGCCGAGGACGCCGATGATAGCGTGCCGAGCGGTGTTGGACGCCAGTTAGTCGCTATGGATATACACATAGGGTGACCTAACACCCTCTTAAGCTAAACAACTTAATAGGTATCAACAACGTCGTCAGCAGATTTGAATGCAATCTACTCTGCGCCTGCAGACCTTAGACCTTCAGACACAGCCCGGGCATTGGAGCGTCTACACGCCCTCCCTTACACACTCTAGCTAGCTCCTGGCCCAGTGTACAAGATATATATATATTTATAATAAAACTAAGGAAAAGCAGTAGACGTTTGGTACTCCAATTCCTGCCCACAACCTAATCATTCTACAATAACATCGACCGGGTTTACAATATGGCTATAGACTGATGCATTAACCAATGTGGCTGTAGACTAACCATAACCAATATGGCTGAAGGCTGACCATAACCAATATGGCTATAGGCTGACGCATAACCAATGTGCCTGTAGACTGACCCAAACCAATGTGACTGCAGGCTGATGCATAACCAATATGGCTGTAGGCTAACATAACTAACATTGCTGTAGGCTGACCATAACCAATATGGCTGTTGGATGATGCATAACCAGTGTGGCTGTAGACTGACGCATAACAAATGTAGCTGTAGACTGACCATAACCAATGTTGCTGTAGGCTGACGTATAACCAATTTGGCTGTAGGGTGACTGCAACCAATGGGGCTGTTGGCTGATGCATAACCAATATGGCTGGAGGTTGACCATAACCTATATCTCGTAGACAGACGGATAACCAAAATGGCTGTAGGCTGACGCAAAACCAATATGGTTGTAGGCTGATGCATAACCAATGTGGCTGTAGGATGACCATCTTCTTTCTTGAGGTTATCTTGAGATGATTTCGGGGCTTTAGTGTCCCCGCGGCCCGGTCCTCGACCAGGCCTCCACCCCCAGGAAGCAGCCCGTGACAGCTCACTAAAACCCAGGTACCTATTTTACTGCTAGGTAACAGGGGCATAGGGTGAAAGAAACTCTGCCCATTGTTTCTCGCCGGCGCCCGGGATCGAACCCGGGACCACAGGATCACAAGTCCAGCGTGCTGTCCGCTCGGCCGACCGGCTCCCATAATCAATATGGCTGTAGGCTGATGCAAAACCAATACAGTTGTAGGCTGACACATAACCAATATGGCTTTAGGCTGAAGCAAAACCAATATGGCTGTAGTTTGTCCATAGCTAATATTGCTGTAGGTTGACCATAACCAATATCTCGTAGGCTGACGGCTAACCAAAATGGCTGTAGGCTGACGCAAAACCAATATGGTTGTAGGCTGATGCATAACCAATATGGCTGTAGGCTGACGCATAACTAATATTGATGTAGGCTGACGCAAAACCAACATGGTTGTATGCTGACAAATAAACAATATGGTTGTAAGCTGACGCATAACCAACGTGGCTGTAGGATGACAATAACTAATGTGGGTGTAGGCTGATGCACAACCAATATGACTTTAGGCTTATACATAACCAATGTGACTGTAGGCTGATCATAACCAATATGTCTGTAGGCTGACGGATAACCAAAATGGCTGTAGCCTGACCCAAAATCAATACGGTTGTAGGTTGACACATAACCAATATGGCTGTAGACTGACCATAACCAATGTTGCAGTAGGCTGACCATAACCAATGGGGCTGTAGGCTGATGCGTAACCAATATCTCGTAGGCTGACGCAAAACCAATATGGCTGTAGGCTGACCATAACCATTGTGGTTGTAGGCTGATGCATAACCAATATTGCAGTCGGCAGACCATAACCAATGGGGCTGAGGGTGATGCATAACCAATATCTCGTAGGCTGACGCATAACCAAAATGGCTGTAGGCTGACGCATTACTAATATTGCTGTAGGTTGACGCATATCTAATATTGCTGTAGGCTGACGCATAACCAATGTGGCTGTTGGATGACCATAACCAATGTGGCTGTAGGCTGACGGATAACCAAAATGGCTGTAGGCTGACGCAAAAGTAATAAGGTTTTATTGGTTTTGCTGACACATAACCAATATGGATTTAAGCTGAAGCAGAACCAATATTGCTGTGGGCTGACCATAACCAATATGGCTGTAGGCTGACTGTCATATGAATCCCCTGCATAGCAGTGGAACTGCCTTTTCCCTTCACCTTCAATGCCTCTGCACTGGACGTCTACATCTATATTAGCCTAGATGAATCATCAGTCCTGCCTCCACTCCCCCCCTCCCCCCCCCCCAGGGCCTGGCACGTCCTGGTACGACTCAGAGTCAAGTTGGGCGCCTCTGCTAAACGGTAGTTTGCCCCCACAAACAAGCAGTTAGCCGCCTTCAACTGGCAGTGGTGCAGGTCAACACAAAGGCACCGCCAGCCACAACGAGCAGTGTGCTAGTTGACCAGATGTCCACCTCGCGCTGACACTGGATGAGTCATCACCACCGGACTATATAAAGGGCGCCGCCTCCCTGGAGATTACCATAGCCCGTGCTACTTGGAACTTTTTGTTCTAGGTAGTGAATCTTTAACAACAACGATAACCCTGGAGAGCAAGTCTCTCCCTTAGTGCTCTAGGATTGCCTTCATGTCTCTCACCCGTCGTCTGCCTTCAGTCAACGCCGTGTGACTGATACCATGGTGGTATGGTAGCTGTCTTCAGTACACCAGGATAGCTTTATGCTTTTTATTCATTGCTTACAGTTTATTTTTGCATTTAATGTCATATTAACTTGTTCACCTTTGCATTACATGATAGCCAAGTATTTTCATGTGTCATTTTTGTTTAGTGCTATTTCAGTATATTGTTTAATTATTTATTTAATGATTTTCATTTTTTTTACACCTGCGACTTATACACTGTAAGGCTGATAGCAGCCTTTTTTTATTTGTGTGAGGAAGAGCCATACCATCTTGGTTCAGTATAGCTGCGATACCAAAACCCATCACACTGACCATAACCAATATTGCTATAGGCTGATGCATAAATAATATGGCTGTAGGCTGATGCATAACCAATGTGGCTGTAGGCTGATCATAACCAATATTGTTGTAGGCTCATGCATAACCAATGTGGCTGTAGGCTGACCATAATCAATATGGCTGTAGGCTGATTGTAATGCCCCTCATTGTAATATCTATGATTGTAATTGTTCTGAACGCTACCCTTGTTGTAACTCTCTCTTTCCTTTCATCCAATACCCAAGCTTAACACTGTTACAGCCTAGTATGACCCCTCTCTGGACTGCCACGAATATAAGCTGAATATTAAATGAGGAGGACATAACAAGAATAGGGGTTATTAATTTATAACTAATGATTAAAATCATTAAAACACTGCCACCACCTTCCCAACCATAAATGGATGTGTCTAAATTATTGTTTCCCCAGGAAGGAAGAGACTCAATAATCCTGGCACTCAAAGGGGCAAGTAAATGAATCTTAATTGGATTAAAACTGTAATCTTACTGAACTGAAAGGGGGATTCTAGAGCAACTTTAATAATCATAAGAATGGGGGAGAACACAGGAACTTTCCAAGTCAACCCTCAGCCACATATAAAAATGACCAAGTAGAAAAATATATTTAAAAAGGGGAATTAACTGAATACCACTGGAACAAATTATACAATTTATTTTTGTTAAACATGTAAATTAAAATCAACTGAACATATAACCTACTTTATTATCACCTAGAGGCAAAATGGAATGTAATACCGAAATACCTGAAATCAAGTGCATAATTACCTTCAATACTGCAGCTTGCCAAAGGATGTTGATTGGCTGCCCGCAGGTGACCTGATCTGTACCCCAGTTGAGGCCCCAAGACACACTAACTTCAATTCTCTTAAACCCTTGGAGACCTATAATTTTCCTCTAGCGCTTTGCTCTGGCTAGGAGCACCAATCAATTCAAAGCAAAGCTGGAATACACTGTGGCTGGGCCAATGGGTGACAAGGCACTACCCTGGGGGACTCTGCCTCTCAAAGTTCAACCAATGAATACAGAGTGTCACTCTTAGGCCAACCAAAACTCTTGACTTAGCTCCGCCC